TTTTCGACTCATCTTTCCCATTGCCAGAAAGGCCCAGTAGCCTTCCTGTTCTAGTGTCCCATCGAGGTGCAGAAACTTTGGAGTGTGCAAATCTTCTAATCCTGCCTTACCCGTGCTCTTCTACCTAGGGTTGCCACATAGAATACCAGCTACCCAATTATATTTGAATTTCACATAGTATTTTTTACCACAAGCCTTTCCTTTAAGTGTCCTGTAACTTTGTGACATCTGACAGCCCTAACCCTACCAATCTACTCAGGACAGGAGAGGTTGGTTTTAACTAATTCACGTGCAGGGCAATCTCGTTCTTTTTAAGCATGGTTGGTGCCATGAGCATCATTGGCTCTGGCTCATGGGGGTGGAAAAGCCACCTCGAGCATAAAGTAGATAGGAAAGGGCTTAGAATGAAGAAAGCATAGATGGGGAGAGGAGGAACAGGGCTCTGCATTCCCAACCAAACCCACAGAGTGGGAATCTAAGAGAAACTTCTCAGAGGGAATAGAGAAGATGACACCAGTAATTAGGGTACTTTGGTGGGGAGGGCCTGCTAAAATGGAATAAGGCAAGTTTTAAGCAGCCACCAGTGCTAAATCAGTGCAGGGTGCAACTTTCAAAACTACGAGTTTGAAAAAACAGAAACTGATTTAAAATACATCTATCTGTTGGTTAACATAGCAATGATCAGGGGAATCTGGGCTGTTTGGCCACTTGGTGAATCCCAGCTTCAGCATATGTGATAGTACACAGCAAGTTTTGTAACTTATAGTTCAGTGTCTTCATCTATAAAATGGAGATGAAGTAATATAGCATCTTATACATGAAATGAGATGTAAAGTGATAAGCACAGTGCCCTGGTACACAAGAAGCATTTCAAAGTGGTAGCCATTATTAATTGAATAATACAATTCTGATGGGAGTGGCCATAGTCCCCTTATCTGTATGCCCATCAGAGAGAGACTGTTAGGCCAGAAAGATGCATCATTAATCTAACCCTGTGGATGATTCTTTTATTCTTTTTTTTTTTGAGACACAGTTTCGGTTTGTCACCCAGGCTGGAGTGCAATGGCGCGACCTTGGCTGGAAACTCCACCTCCCAGGTTCAAGCGATTTTCCTGCCTCAGCTTCCTGAGTGGCTGGGATTACAGACATGCACCACCACGCCTGGCTGATTTTGTATTTTTAGTAGAGACAGGGTTTCACTATATTGGTCAGGCTGGTTTCGAACTCCTACCTCAAATGATCCGCCCGCCTTGGCCTCCCAAAGTGCCAGGATTACAGGCATGAGCCACTGCTCCCAGCTGATTATTTTATTCTAAATTCGTTGGTATGGTTTTGCTGTACTAGATCCTCAAGTGCCATCTTGTGGGTCCAGAAGGATCTGAGACAATGGACATGGATGAAAGAGCCCACAATTCTAGAGTTTATCACTAGTCACCATTTGGCTAACTACCTCCCTCACCCCTAACAGTGAAATAACAAATCTTTCCCTTAACTTTCTCATCCCCCATACATGATTTGAAGGTGCATGAAAAGCCAACAGGACAGAGCACCAAGGGGTTTTATGATTAATGAAAAAGAGGCTGATCTGGATACTCCCAACATGGATGCCCTGTGACTACTGCTCCTTCCTTTTTATTATGTCCTTTCCCTTCCTGTGTTTTTAAGTTTAGCTCCGTGTTTGGACAGATACGCTTACAGATGTTAGAACTGGATTTGGATGTTAGAATTGTCTTTCCTTTTTTTCTGTCACCCAGGTGCAGTTGCTCAGTTATGGCTCATTGCAGCCTCAACCCCTTGGGCTCAAGTAATCTTCCCACCTCATTTTTTAAATTTTTTTCTAGAGATAAGGTCTCACTGTTATGCCCAGGTTGGTTTCAAACGCCTGGGCTCAAGCGATCCCCTACCTCGGCCTCCCACAGTGCTGGCATCACAGGCTTGAGCATCTTTGAATAGATACTGTATATACCCCCTTTAATGACAAGAAATGCAGTCCACAGGATAGAATCCTTATTTAACTGTCTCACCACCAGCTGGCACATGCACTTCTTTTCAGTGAGAAAACTGCCTTCACAATTGTCCTGGTTTCTTTCAAGTTTCTGTGGGTGAGGGGAGAAAAGCTGACTATTCTCTTCCTTTGGCTGAAATTAAATCTGGCAGTAACATATGGCCTGGGATTATTCATAGAAGAGTATGATAGTAATTGAAATTACCCCCATGGCTTCCTGCTGGAAAGGATAATAAAAAAAGGTAGGGGGAAGAAATTATTATACACAGCCAAACACCTGCACTGCTGGTGTTTAGTTTGTCCTTCATGTTAGGTTTGTCTAGGTCTGTTTTGTTGGTTTTTTGGTTTTGTTTTTTAAAGAGACAGAGTCGAGGAGGATCCAAAATGGCCAAATAGGAATAGCTCTGCATTGCAGTTATCAGCAAAAACGAGAGACTGCTGCAGGTGATCCCGAGGCAAGCAGGGTCTGGAGTGGACCTCCAGCAGTCCTTCAGCAGAGGGCCCTGACTGTTAGAAGGAAAACTAAGAAACAAAGAAAGAACTTCATTAGCAACAAAAAGGACGTCCACTCAGAGACCCCATCTGAAAGTCACCAACCACAAAGACCACAGGTAGATAAATCCACAAAGATGGGAAGAAACCAGTGCAAAAAGGATGAAAATACTCAAAACCAGAACGCCTCTCCTCCTCCAAGGGATCACAGCTCCTCACTAGCAAGGGAACGAGGCTGGATGGAGACTGAGTCTGATGAATTGACAGAAACAGCCTTCAGAAGATGAGTAATAAGAAACTTCTCTGAGCTAAAAGAACATGTTCTAACCCAATGCAAAGAAACTAAGAACCGTCAAAAAAGATTTGATGAAATGCTAACAAGAATAAACAGCTTAAAGAGGAATATAAATGAATTGATGGAGCTGAAAAACAACACGAGAACTTTGCGAAGCATATACAAGTTTCTGTAGCCGAATCGACCAAGCAGAAGAAAGGATATCAGAGATTGAAGATCAACTCAATGAAATAAAATGAGAAGGCAAGATTAGAGAAAAATGAGTGAAAAGAAACAAACAAAGCCTCAAAGAAATATGGGATTATGTGAAAAGACCTAATCTACATTTGTTCGGTGTACCTGAATGTGATAGAGAGAATGAATCCAAGCTGGAAAACACTCTTCAGGATATTATCCAGGGGAACTTCCCCAGCCTAGCAAGGCAGGCCACCATACAAGTCCAGGAAATACAGAGAACACCACAAAGTTATTCCTCAAGCAGAGCAACCCCAAGGCACATAATCATCAGATTCACCAGGGTTGAAATGAAGGAAAAAATGCTAAGGGCAGGCGGAGAGAAAGGTCAGGTTCCCCATAAAGGGAAGCCCATCAGACTCGCAGTGGATCTCTTGGCAGAAACCCTGCAAGCAAGAAGAGAGTGGGGGCCAATATTCAACATGCTTAAAGAAAAGAACTTTCAACCTAGAATTTCATATCCAGCTGAAGTAAGCTTCATAAGTGAAGGAGAAATAAAATCCTTTATGAACAAGTAATTGCTCAGAGATTTCATCACCACCAGGCCTGCTTTACAACAGCTCCTGAAAGAAGCACTAAACATAGAAAGGAACGACCAGTACCAGCCACTCCAAAAATGTACCAAATGGTAAACAGCATCAACACAATGAAGAAAGTGTGTCAACTAATGGGCAAAACAACCAGCTTGCATCAAAATGGCAGGATCAAAGTCACACATAACAATATTAACCTTAAATGAAAACAAGCTAAATGCCCCAATCAAAAGACACAAACTGGCAAATTGGATAAAAAGTCAAGACCCGTTGGTGTGGTGTATTCAGGAGACCCATCTCACTTGCAAAGATACACAGAGACTCAAAATAAAGGAATGGAAGATTTACCAAGCAAACATAGAGCAAAAAAAGAGCAGAAGTTGCAATCCTAGTCTCTGATAAAATAGACTTTAAACCAACAAAGATCAAAAGAGACAAAGAAGGACATTACATAATGGTAAAAGGATCAATGCAACAAGAGCTAACGATCCTGAATATAAACACGACCAATATAGGAGCACCCAGATACATAAAGCAAGTTTTAATGACCTACGAAGAGACTTAGACTCCCACACAATAATAGTGGGAGACTTTAAACACTCCACTGTCAATATTAGACAGATTAACGAGACAGAAAATTAACAAGGATATCCAGGACTTGAACTCAGACCTGGAACAAGCAAACCTAATAGACATTTACAGAACTCTCCACGCCAAATACACAGAATATACATTCTTCTCAGCACCACATCACACCTACTCTAAAACTGACCACATAATTGGAAGTAAATCACTCCTCAGCAAATGCAAAAGAACGGAAATCATAACAAACAGTCTCTTAGACCACAATGCAATCAAATTAGAACTCAGAAACTAGCCGGGCGCGGTGGCTCAAGCCTGTAATCCCAGCACTTTGGGAGGCCGAGGCGGGTGGATCACGAGGTCAAGAGATCGAGACCATCCTGGTCAACATGGTGAAACCCCGTCTCTACTAAAAATACAAAACATTAGCTGGGCATGGTGGCGCATGCCTGTAATCCCAGCTGCTCAGGAGGTTGAGGCAGGAGAATTGCCTGAACCCAGGAGGCGGAGGTTGCGGTGAGCCGAGATGGCGCCATTGCACTCCAGCCTGGGTTACAAGAGTGAAACTCCGTCTCAAAAAAAAAAAAAAAGAACTCAGAAACTAACTCAGAACCACACAACTTCATGGAAACTGAACAACTGGCTCTTGAATGATGACTGGATGAACAATGAGATGAAGGCAGAAATAAAGATGTTCTTCAAAACCAACGAGAATGAAGACACAACGTACCAGAATCTCTAGGACACATTTAAAGTGGTGTCTAGAGGAAAATTTATAGCAATAAATGCCCACATGAGAAGCAAGGAAAGATCTAAAATTGACACCCTATTGTCAAAATTGAAAGAGCTAGAGGAGCTGTAGGCCCGAGTGGGTGCTGCTGAAATGGGCAAGTTCATGAAACCTGGGAAGGTGGTGCTTGTCCTGGCTGGACGCTACTCTGGATGCAAAGCCGTCATCGTGAAGAACATTGATGATGGCACCTCAGATCGCCCCTACAGCCATGCTTTGGTGGCTGGAATTGACCGCTATCCCCGCAAAGTGACAGCTGCCATGGGCAAGAAGAAGATCGCCAAGAGGTCAAAGATCAAGTCTTTTGTGAAAGTTTATAACTACAATCACCTGATGCCCACAAGGTACTCTGTGGACATCCCCTTGGACAAAACTGTCATCAATAAGGATGTCTTCAGAGATCCCGCCCTTAAACGCAAGGCCCGACGAGAGGCCAAGGTCAAGTTTGGGAGAGATACAAGACAGGCAAGAACAAGTGGTTCTTCCAGAAGCTGCGGTTTTAGATGCTTTGTTTTGGTCATTAAAAAAGAAAAAGGAAAGAAAGAAAGAAAGAGCTAGAGGAGCAAGATAAAAAAAAAACTCAAAAGCTAGCAGAAGACAAGAAATAACTAAGATCAGAGCAGAATTGAAGGAGATAGAGACACAAAAAAATCCCTTCAAAAAATCAATAAATACAGGAGCTGGTTTTTGGAAAAGATCAACAAAATAAACAGACCACTAGCCAGATTAATAAAAAGGAAAAGAGAGAAAAATAAAATAGATGCAATAAAAAACGATAAAGGGGATTTCACCACCAATTCCACAGAAATACAAACCACCATCAGAGATTACTACAACTCTATGCACATAAACCAGTAAACCTGGAAGAAATTGATAAATTCCTGGACACTTACCCCCTCCCAAGCCTAAACCAGGAAGAAGTTGAAACCCTGAATAGACCAATAACAAGGGCTGAAGTTGAGGCAGCAATTAATAGCTTACCAACCAAAAAAAGCCCAGGTCCAGACAGGTTTACAGCCGAATTCTACCAGACATACAAAGAGGAGCTGGTACCACTCCTTTTGAAACTATTCCAAACACTCCAGAAAGAGGGAATCCTCCCCAAATCATTTTATAAGACCAACATCATCCTCATACCAAACCCCGGCAGAGACTCAACAAGAAAAGAAAACTTCAGACCAATATCCATGATAAACATAGATGCAAAAATCTTCAATAAAATACTGGCAAGCCGATTGCAACAGCACATCAAAAAGCTTATCCATCATGATCAAGTAGGCTTCATCCCGGGGATGCAAGGCTGGTTCAACATATGCAAGTCTATAAACGTAATTCACCACATAAAAAGAACCAAAGACAAAAACCACATGAATATCTCAATAGATGCAGAGAAGGCCTTTGACAAAATTCAACAGCACTTTATGCTAAAAACTCTCAGTAAACTAGGTATCAATGGAACGTATCTCAAAATAATAAAAGCTATTTAAAACAAACTCACAGCCAATATCATACTGAATGGGCAAAAACTGGAAGCATTCCCTTTGAAATCTAGCACTAGATGAGGATGCCCTCTCTCACCACTCCTATTCAATATAGTATTGGAAGTTCTAGCCAGAGTAATCAGGCAAGAAAAAGAAATAAAGGGTATCCACTTAGAAAGGAGGAAGTCAAATTGTCTCTATTTGCAGATGACATGATTGTATATTTAGAAGACCCTATTGTCTCAGCCCAAAATCCCTTAAACTGATAAGCAACTTCAGCAAAGTCTCAGGATACAAAATCAATGTGCAAAAATCACAAGCATTCTTATACACCAATAACAGACTTAAAGAGAGCTGCCATTCACAGTTGCTACAAAGAGAATAAAATACCTAGGAATACAACTAACAAAGGATGTAAAGGACCTCTTCAAGGAGAACTACAAACCACTGCTCAAGGAAATAAGAGAGGACGCAAACAGATGGAGAAACATTCCATGTTCGTGGTTAGGAAGAATCAATATCGTGAAAATGGCCATAGTGCCAATTTATAGATTCAACACTATCCCCATCAAGCTACCAATGACCTTCTTCACAGAACTGGAAAAAACCACCTTAAACTTCCTATGGAACCAAAAGAGAGCCCACATAGGCAAGTCAATTCTAAGCCAAAAGGACAAAGCTGGAGGCATCATGCTACCTGACTTCAAACTATAGTACAAGGCTACAATAATCAAAACAGCATGGTACTGGTACCAAAACAGAAATATAGACCAATGGAACAGAACAGAGGCCTTGGAGTCAACGCCACACATCTACAACCATCTGATCTTTGACAAACCTGACAAAAACAAGCAATGGGAAAAGGATTCCCTGTTTAATAAATGGTGCTGGCAAAACTGGCTAGCCATGTGCAGAAAGTGGAAACTGGGACCCTTCCTGACACCTTACACTAAAATTAACTCCAGATGGATTAAATACTTAAACATAAGACCTAACACCATAAAAACCTTAGAAGAAAACCTAGGCAAAACCATTCAGGACATAGGCATAGGCAAGGACTTCATGACTAAAATGCCAAAAGCATTGGCAACAAAAGCCAAAATAGACAAATGGGATCTAATTAAACTCCAAAGCTTCTGCACAGCAAAAGAAACAGTCATTAGAGTGAACTGGCAACCAACAGAATGGGAAAAAATTTTTGCAAACTACCCATCTGACAAAGGGCTAATATCCCAAATCTACAGAGAACTAAAAGAAATTTACAAGAAAAAAAAACCCCATCAAAAAGTGGGTGAAGGATATGAACGGACACTTTTCAAAAGAAGACATATATGAGGCCAACAAACATATGTAAAAATGCTCATCATCACTGGTCATTAGAGAAATGCAAATCAAAACTACATTGAGATACCATCTCTCGCCAGTTAGAATGGCAATCAAAAAATCTGGAGACAACAGATGCTGGAGAGGATGTGGAGAAATAGGAACACTTTTACACTGTTGGTGGGAGTGTAAATTAGTTCAACCATTGTGGAAGACACTGTGGTGATTCCTCAAGTACCTAGAAATAGAAATTCCATTTGACCCAGCAATCCCATTATGGGGTATATATCCAAAGGATTATAAATTGTTCTATTATAAGGACACATGCACACGTTTGTTCATTGCAGCACTGTTTACAATAGCAAAGACTTGGAACCAACCCAAATGCCCATCCATGATAGACTGGACAGGGAAAATGTGGCACATATACACCATGGAATACCATGCAGCCATAAAAAACAATGAGTTCGTGTCCTTTGTAGGGACATGGATGAACCTGGAAACCACCATTCTCAGCAAACTGACACAAGAACAGAAAGTCAAACACTGCATGTTCTCACTCATAGGTGGGTGTTGAACAACGAGAAAACATGGGCACAGGGAGGGGAGCATCATACACTGAGGTCTGTTGGGGGTGACTAGGGGAGGGACAGTAGGTTGTAGGGAGTTGGGGAGGGATAACATGGTGAGAAATACCAGATATAGGTGATGGGGATGGAGGCAGCAAACCACATTGCCATGTATGTACCTATGCAACAATCCTGCATGTTCTTTACATGTACTCCAGACCTAAAATGCAATTGTATATATATATACACATATACATATATATAGAGAGAGAGAGACAGAGACAGAGACAGGGTCTCTCTCTGCCACCCAGGCTGGAGTGTGGTAGTGTATAAGTCATTTATGACTGGTGTATTCATGTATTGGTGTATTAGTTATCCATTTATGCATAAATTGCCTCCAAATTTGGTGTCTTGAAACAATCATCATTTATTATCTCACATCATTTATATGGATCAGGAATTCAGGAATGGCTTAGCTGGGTAGCTGTGGCTCAGGATCTCATCAGGATGCAATCAAGATGTTAGCTGCAGCTACAGTCATCTGAAAGCTTGACTGGGGCTGGAGGATTTGCTTCTGAGATGTAAGTTGACACTGACTGTTGGCAAGAGGGCTCATTTCTTCACCATTGGATCTCTCCATAGAGCTATTTTTATGTCCTCGTGATATGACAGATGGCTTTCCCCAGACCAGTGATCCAAGACAGGAATGCTGAAACTGCAATGCCTTTTATGTCCTACTCTCAGAAATCACACGTTATCACTTTTGTAATATCAATTACATGGATCAGCGACATACAGTGATGGAGGGGACTACATAAGGACATACATGCAAGGCAAGGATCATTAGGAACCATCTTCCCTAATAACCCGGGGGCTGGCTGACCACATTTGGATACCTATTGTAATAACATCTGATGATGCTATAAATATTTTTTTAAAAATACCTATCCAAGATGATTACCTAATGGTCAATTAACTACTTACCTAATATGTTCTTCCTTGTCTTGTCAGTTCACTGAATTTTATGTGGGTAGTACTTGAGCTTACAACAGATATGAGAAGTTCTATTTAGGAAATACCAAAAACTCAAGCAATAAAGAAACAGCTAAATTGTTATTCAACTTAGCTGTGTTTACTAAGGTGTATTCAGTATAGCATTTAGAGATGCTGATTCACAAATATCATCTTTAAAATATTAAAACTATTAAAACTGACATCAGGTCAGGTGTGGTGGCTCACACCTGTAATCCCAGCACTTTGGGAGTCTGAGGCAGGTGTATCACTTGAGGTCAGGAGATCAAGACTAGCCTGGCCAACATGGCAAAACCGTACCTTTAATAAAAATAAAAAATTTAGCCAGACATGGTGGCACATGCCTGTAATGCTAGCTACTTGGAAGGCTGAAGTAGGAGGATCACTTGAGCCCAGGAGTTCAAGACCAGTCTTGGCAACATAGTGAGACCCTGTCTCTACACAAAATAAAATTGGCCACGTGTGGTGGCTGTGCCTGTAGTCCCAGCTACTCAGAGGCTGACATGGGAGGATCACTTGAGCCCAGAAGGTGGAGGCTGTAGTGAGCTGTGGTACCACCACTGCACTCCAGCCTGAGTGATGGAGTGAGACCCTGTCTCAAAAAAACAGCAACAAAAAAGGAAATAAAGTATAAAATTGCTTCATCACATGAAATTCTTACGAAGGAAGGTAAAAATCATTCAAGTGTTAGACATACCCTTAGAGCAAAGTATTCTAAGTAAGAATAACTATGCATCAGGCTGGGTGCGTATAATCCCAGCACTTTGGGAGACCAAAATGGGAGGATCACTTGAGCCCAGGAGTTCTGAACAGCCTGGGCAACGTAGGGAGATCCAGTCTCTACAAAAAATTTAAAAATTAGCTGGGCATGGTGGTGTATGCTTGTAGTTTGAGCTAGTTGGAAGGCTGAGGTGGGAGGATCCCTTGAGCTCAGGAAACAGAGGATGCAGTGAGTTGTCATTGTGACACTGCATTCCAGTCTGAGTGACAGAACAAGACCCTATCTCAAAAAAAAGAAAAATGAATCGGGAGCAGGGAAATTCCTCTTCTTTCCGTGCTCCATCGCCACTCCCATCTGCAGATAACTTGAAGGTTAAGGAATATCTTAGGCCAGGCGCAGTGGCTCACGC